CATGGAGACCCCGCCCGCCTGGTGCCAAGCATGCTGTCCCCGGAAAGGGGATCTTTCTCTGTCTGGCTCCAGTGAGCACCGCAGCGTAGGCCCCAAACTTTAGTTCATTCCCACATGGGAAATAAAAAGGCAGCAGAAAAGGCCAGGAGCCCCCGCGCCGGGGCATCTCTGCTGTGATTCCCATGGGGAGATGTAGTTGGGCCCCCTCACGCGTCCTTGTGGGGGTGCGTTTCACACCAAGGTAAGTATCCCTCAGCTTCATGGAGGGTTCTGCCCACCACAGCACTCTGTCCACCGAATCGGAAGTGACCGCCCCTGTGCGGCAAGGGGATGTCCTGCCAGCTCTGAGAACTGTGCTGGTGACAACTGTGGTCCAAATCGACAGTGCCCACTCAGGACAGGCGCTGCTCTGGGTGCCTCACTCACCATAACTGACCCGGCCCAGGGAACCGCCACAGTCTGGCTCCGTGAAGTAGGGACGGGATCTTGAGCTCAGGGACCCAAGCACAGGAAGTACGGCTCAGGGCGACGGGAAAGAAGGAAGGGCGGGACTGGAGCTGTGGATAGTATATGTGCGTATCTCCAAGGCCAGGGGGTGCTGACCCGCTTTGCCCAGAATGTCTCTTCCCACATGACTCTTCTTCTTTGGCTCCCGCTCTTCCTCTTTGGTTCGGGCACAGTTAATCAGTTTCGGTCTAAATCTTCAATTTCCATCTTATCATAAGGCTCATGCAGTGCAGTTTCTACACATCTACACCCTGACGGCCCTGCAGGTCGGACCTGGCCGTGGCTCCCATTGGCTGCTGTGTGAGAACAGGAGAGAGCCAGTGCACGGATCTCCCTTCTCAACTTGGGCATGCAGCCTGCACCTCCCTGGGCCTGGGGCAGAATCAGCCAGGCCGTCCCTTCCTCTGCTCACTCCATGCTGCGACAGTGTGGTGTCCAGGCCTGCCCACTGGCAAAGAGGGCCCGGGCCTGGGCAGGGCACGAGGGAGCCTCCTTCCTCTTGCAGTGCGGGGCGGCTGCAGCCAGCAAGCAGAGAGAATCTGCTGTGGAATGGGGAAAGGTGGAGGTGGTTATCTGGCTTAAGACTCCCGAGAGCCAGGCATAGTGATGTATGTCTGTACTCCCAGCACCCAGGAGGCTGAGGCAGGAGGATCTCCACAAATTCAAGGCCAGCCTGGGCTACATAGTGAGTTCAAGGCCAGCCTGGGCTACATAGTGAGTTCAAGGCCAGCCTGAGCTATATAGCAAGACCCTGTCTGGAAAAAAAATTGTTGAGAGATAATTTTAATCCCGTCATAAAATATCAAGCCTAAAACACGCTCCTAAATCAGACACTTTAAAATACACACACACCCACAAATGTGAAAAAGTTCATTTAAAGCTCTAAAAATAAATCTGCATATGGTTTTTCTTGTTCACCCAGATGTTGATATAGCACAAATTTTTTTCTTTAAAAAGAGCACATGGTAAACTAAGCAATATGGTAAACTAAGCAATGTTCCGCTAGCAGTGCAGCTCAGTTCTTCACAGAGCCCACAGTAACCTCACAAATTTTAGAGCCCTGTTGTCCACATCCGAATCCCTGGAACCTCTGGCTCTGTTACCTTAGGTGGGAAGAAACAGTTTGCAGATGTGATTATCGAGATGGGAGGGTTCTGCGGAATTATCCACACGGCCTCAAGTAATCAGGAGGTCTTTATAACAGCAGAAAGAGACCGAGACAGCGGAGACCCACAGTGGACACCCAGCCTGACCTCCTGGACTTGGCAGGGGATGAAGAGGGGCCAGTGCCCGGGGATGTAGGAAGCTTCGAGGAAAAGGAATTTCCCTAAAAGCCCCCGGGAGCAACACAGCCCTGAACACATCTTCATATCAGCCCAGAGAAACTGATTTCAGACTCCTGACTTTCAGAACTGCAGAGTAATAAACGTAGGCTGTCGAAAGCCACTAGTTTGTGGTACTTTACAATGGCAGGTATGGGAAACTAGCAGAGGATTTCAGGACTGCACAGAATCCACAGTAGTTTCAGATGTGCTAAGAGTCTTCTACCAAAATTTTGAAATAGCGAAGAATGCAAACGACAAATATTTTTCATAAAATTGCTTGAATTTTGAGTCTTGGAGGGCTAGGGTCCAGGCAAGAACGTGCGAACTGGTGCTCCTTCTCAAGCACAGACCTGTGCTCACAGGTAGAATCTTAGTCCGCTGTGGTTCTGCTAGCCGTAGCTCGCTCCCCACACGTCGCCTTCCAACAGATGCTTTCCCAGGCACAAAGCAGAAACGAAACTGATGTTCCGCTTTAGCAAACGCCTGTCTGCGTGCACCGAAGCGGTGCGGCCCGGCCAGGACGAAGAACAGAAGGTCCCCACACAGTACAAAGCCGCCTGTTACTGTGATAAAGGCCTGGAGACTGTGAGCTTTGAAACAGGAAGGAGAAAAGATTTAAAAAAAAAAAAAAAAGAATGGGTTGCGCTGCAGCAAGCCTGATTCATCCGGCTAATTGGAAGCGGGGAAATTAGCATAAGAATGGGATGGAACCCCTGCACTTTCAGTTTGCAAAGCAGCAGAGCAGAGCCGCAGAGCCGCAGAGCCCTAATACAAAATGGTCTGATTTAATCTTTTTGATGCTTTGGAAGTCGCTCCAGGGTGCTGCAGAATTTCCCGCAGCCATGAATATTAATCATCAGGGCGTGGCACTGTGGGAAACAGCCTAGAAAAGTTGAGCCTTCCCTTTCGAGCTCCTTCAGGACTGCGTCAGTACTGTCAGCTCTTAGGAATGGAGCGGCTCTGTCCTGCTGAGTGGTCTGTGTTTGTGTGATCACTTTTTACAGTACTCAGTGAAAGAATGGGTTCCCAGGGCTGGGCCGTGCCTCCTAGCGCCTTTTGCCCTTTTCCCACTGTGTCTGGAATCCATAGCATAGAGACAGTACTGGGCCGGCTACCTCACAGGTACTGACTGCTAGGTACCAAGTGAAGGCTCGATTCTTGCATAAGCGCACATGGTCTGTGGGGTCCTCCCTGCCCCAGTGGCTACATCCTGACCCAGGGTTCCGAGGTGGGAAAGGGCCACAGATGAATGCTAAATCAAGCAAATGCTAGGGTTTGAATCTCAAGCGGTCCCCAAGAGGAAGGTGTGGTCCGCCGCCCGTGGCACTGTGAGAAAGTGGTTAAGGAGCGGGGTTGAGTGAGAGGCCTTCAGCACATTGGGGTGCCCTCAAAGGGGAACTGTGGGACCCCAGTCTGTCCCTCCACCACGTAGCCCTTCCAGAAACAATGGGGCCACTCAATCATGACGTGAAATCTCCAAAGCCCTGAGCCACAGACCTTTCCTCTGAGAAGCTGATTATCTGGGGGATTTGTTGTAATGGCAGAAAGCTGATAACAATGAATCATGTTTGAAAATTTAGTTTTTGTTAAACTAGCAATGAGAAAAATGAAAGCAGAATTAAGCAGGAATACCTGTCACACACCTCGGGGTACACTGAGAAAACAGTTAGGCAGTCTGCCTCAAGAGCCTTAGAAATGTTTGTGCCTTGGATCTACAAATGTCCTTCTGTGAATCTATTCTGAGAGAATGTGGAATGTGTGACAACCCCACCCGTCCTGCCCTGCCATTCTCCTAGGGCTGCAGCTCCACCTTCGCAGGACATCTGCCGGTCTGTCCTGGGGGGAGGGGACCTCAGAGTTGAGCCCTGCAGGAAGCCGAAGCCCCCAGATGTTTTCCTCCTGCACCCCACTCACGTGCCAAGACAGTGAATGACTGCCAGCCCTGCTGCCACTGCCCCCCATTCAGCCCTCCTTCCTTTCTGCAGCTGAGGCCCACTTTCTCCTGAGGCCTAGGTCCATCTCCGCAGTTTGCCTCTGGTCCCACCCACTGCTGAGCAAGCTGCCACTACCATGCTGTTGCCTAGCTGCCCCTCTTCCCCTCTTCCCCAAAGTTTGCTGGGGTACCACGAGGAGAAGGCAGTCATGGCTGCCATCATGAGAGCCATTTCTTTTTTTTTTTTTTTGGTTTTTGGTTTTTTTCCGGTACCGGGAACCGAACTCACAACCTTGCGCTTGCCAGGCAAGCGCTTTGCCGCTGAGCTAAATCCCCAGCCCCCCATGAGAGCCATTTCACAGGGAGAGTTGCCCATGGCACAGGTGAGTATGGGCAGTTGTTCTGTTTACAGTTACTGCTATGGGAACTACTGTGGTCAGAGTCACACACCAAAAGATGCAGGATTTGAACCCAGGTCAGAGCTTGTTCATGAATACCACTCCAGGAGATATAGACCCCCAACCACAGGCTCAGGCCCAGGCAGGTCACTACAAAGGTGAACGGAGGTGCCATGATAAGTATGATCAACTGTGTTAGTTTGCCATCACTGGGACAAAATACCTGACACCTGCACCTGAAACGTTTATCTGGCTCACAGTTTGAGAGGGTTCATTCCATGGTTGGCTGGCTCCAAGGCAGAGATGGCATGGCGGAAGGACCTGGAAGAGTAAAGCTGCTCAACCCACGGCAGCCAGGAAGCAGAGAGAGAGAGAAGGGAGCCCGGGAAAGAGCATACCCTCTCAGATCACGTCTCCAGTCACCCACCTTCCAGCAGCACATTCAGCTGGGAATTCATCAGTGGATGAGTGTGGCCCCTACACACACTCCAATCACCTCTTAAAAGCTCCATCTTGGGACTCACGAGGCTCTTGGGGGACACTGTAGATCTAAACCAAAGGGCCAACTGAAAAGCACATGTCATCGGCATCATGTGGGTCGCCCCAAAGCGCCAGGTAATTTATAACAGGCAAGAATGTGGGCCTAGCATCGCCAGAGCGATGAGATTTCAAGAGATGCCAACCAGTGTGGCCTGTATGGCGATCCCCCTGTGCTGTAATGTGGGTGCAAACCGTTCAGAAACACTGGCTGGGCCGGTAACACGCCCATGACCCACCACTTGCAAGTCCACTTCCTACTCGTGGCTCACTGGTCTTCTCCCTTTAATAGCCACATACCTGCACGATCTCTAGCATCTCCGCCTTGCTGATGTAGCCGTTGCCGTCCAGGTCGTACATGCTGAAAGCCCACTTCAGCTTCTGCTCCAGCTTCCCCCTGGATGTGACGCTGAGGGCGATGATGAATTCTCTAAAGTCTATTGTCCCATCGCCATTGGCATCAAAGGTGCGGAAGACGTGCTCTGCGAATTTGGAAGCATCCCCGTAAGGGAAAAAGTTCCCATATATTTTCTTAAACTCCTCCATGGACAAGTGTCCGCTGGGGCAGTCTCTCAGAAAGCCTTTGTACCACTCCTGGATCTCGTGCTCCGTGAAGTCTGTGCTTTCCAGCAAGTCCTGCATGACCTCAGGCCGCAGCTTGCTGTTCTGTTTCCCCATCCTGGCGACAAGAATTCAGCTGCAGAAAGAAAAGAAAACACGCGTCACGTGCGGAGCTGTTCTCCCCCCGCCCATTTGTGATTATTCCTCTGGAAAAAGAAGAAGCAAGCAAACAAGCAAGCGAACGGTGCACTAGTCCATTCACCCTGGCTCCCAGTCCGCAGACGGGCTCTAAGAGGGCTGAGACTCTAATACAGAAGATAAAGGAAAGGAAGAGCAAGAGAGAGACCAAGACAGAATTTAGCATATTTTATTGCTCAAATATCCCCAAGTGAAGTGAAAAATAAGTTGATTTGTTTTCTGATTCTGCACTGGAGGCAGAACTTGGCTCTAGTTTTGCTTCTCCATGAGCCAATGGGCTACCTTTCCCGTCATGCACGCAGCAAGCAAAGCTTGCTTTCTACAAGAGCGAAATCAAACTACAACTCTAAATACAGCACAAATAGAATTTATAAATTGAATATTCCAGTAACTTTCTCTTCCCTCTTGTGATTTTTTTTTTTCCTGGAGGTTAAGGAAAAGAAGTTAGCGGCTGGCTTGTATTAGAATTTTAAAACTGTCATTTGGTTGCTAAGCTGGCAATTTGCCTGAGGCCAGAACTCCGAAACATGAGGTAATGCATAATACATGGGGTTACAGAGCTCCAAAACACTTAATGGAATTTACAAGTAATTTCAAGTTTTCCTTTTGGGGCAATCTTTAGAAAGTGGTGTTCAATCAAATCACCATTATTACAGTTTTGTAATTTGCAAGTCACAATGTGTCTGGCCTTGGGGAAGGACTGCCATTTTGATGTTTAAATCTAATCCTTTAAAGAATGATTTGTTTCCCTGCATACACAAAGCACTGTTTCTTCAAAACCAGACTTAAGTTCTTTTCCCAACGCTTAAGAAGTGCTCTCATTTATTAGCTGTTTTTCACTAAAAACAAATTGCCTCAACATTTGGCTTCCTCTCCTACCGAGACTGATCTGTGAGCAGTTATTTTTCAGTAAACAGTAATTACACCACATTTACAAAATCATTAGCTCAGAAAGGCCATAACAAACAAGGCAGAAGAGCACAAAATAAGTTACTTGTGAAGCGGGTGTTTGGAATTTAGTCCTGAATTTGTTTCAGTAGGTAACTACAACACTTTACTAAGTATGATGACTAAACTTAAGAAAGGCATCTGGTAAGACAAATCTGAGGTGCCTGTGACAGTTTTATCGCTCAGAGGGGCAGGAGGAAGAGAGAGAAATGCTTGACAATACCTTTTGGGAGGCAGGAATTTCTGCCTGCTTGAGTTGAAGGAGGGGACAGAGAATTACATCAAATAGCAGCGTGTGAGGACATAAGTTGCATCTCAGGTCAAATCCTTGTCCTCATCCCATGCGGTCACTCCAAGACTGAGTTGGTGCCGGGAGAACAAGAAAGCTCAGGACATGGAATAAAACATGCTTGGCTTCAAAGCCTGGCCCTGTTGTTTATGGGTTATTGGGTAAGCCACTTAAGTTTTCGGTACCCCTCAGGTTTCTCATCTGTAATGCGAATTCAATCCTCCAAGTTCATATCTTACTGCTTTGATGTGAGAACTGAATGCAACAGTCCCAGCTGTGAAACTCCAGTGTTGAGTTAGGGACAGATTCAGGTGAATCAAAAAATGCCTTATCTTTGATGGTTGCTATGGTTTTGATCTGGTTTGTTCTCAAAGGTCAGTGTGTTAGCAGCTGGACCCAGTGTGGTCATGTGAGGTGGGGGACTGTTAAGAGTGGAAGGCAGGTAGGTTATGGGGCCCAGTGCTAACCTGTGGGTCAGGAATGGAGCAAGGCTCCTGGGATGGGTTACTTCCCATGAGTTGGGTGGTACACAGGAGCCAGCGTGGTCCTTTCCAACCTCTTGCTTTCTGTCTTGCCTGTGACCTCTCCCCTTCATCCGTGTGCCACCTGCCAGGTTGTGATACACCCACAAGTCCCTCACCAGAGGCCACACAGGTGGGGCTGCCTGATATTGGCCTTTTAGCCTTCAAAACAGTGGAATACACTTTTCTGCATAAAGTTCACGTCTCTGGTATTTTGTCATAGTAACACCAAAGGGACCAAGACAGTGATCTTTCACACATTATTCTGTGGAAGCTTCACAGCAACTCTGTGTGATGGGCAGGGCAACTTTTTCCACTCTCAAAGCAAACCAATGAATCCTCAAAGAGACTAATTAAGCTGTCCCAAGCCACACATCCTGTGAGCTTAGGTTGCTCCCTGGCAGCCCACTGGTTTTTCTACTTTCCCTCTGCCCTACAATGGACAAAGCACAGACAGAAATTATAACAATTTGGTAAACATCAGGGGAAAGTACAGAAGAGGGAGAGGAAACCCTACTGCAACTCATACTCCCCATAAATAGGTGCCAAGTGCTCTCCAGAAGTGGGTGTGATGAGGCTTGGGGAGCAGAGGCAAAAATCCTTCCTCCAGGTGAGCTCACAGTCCAGGCAAAGAGATGCAGTAAGAAAAAAATAAGCGAAATATCCAATAGACATGTGCCAAAGAGGAAAGTGAAGATGAAAAGGAGGGAGAGAAGGGGTAGGTGCTGGGATTCTGAGTCACAAGCCAGGACGCCTGGCTAAGAAAGTGACCTCGAAAAGCACTGAGCATGTGAGGGAGGAGCTGGGAGAGGGCTTGGGAGAGGTGGGCCTGGGCAGAGAGGGCAGCGGATGATGAGCTCAGAACTGAGGCTGCGCTCACCCGACAAGCGCTGGGGCAGCACAGAGGTGATCAGATGAGCAGGGCTGGGCCAGACGACCAGGGCCCTGGAGGTGACCGGGAAGTCTTGGGCCACTACTCTGCGTTTGGAGCAGAGAAGTGATGGGGGTGATTTATGCTCTGTCAGGTCACTGGCCACAGAGGGCAGGGCAGGCTAAAGAGGACAGGGTGGAAAGAGACCAGCAGAAAGGCCCCACAGCCACGTGGCACGGGCAAGGTGGCTGGAACTGGGGAGGAAGCAGAAGACTGTAAGTACCACCTGACGATGGAGCCTGCAGGGTTGATTGACAGTTCTGATGTAGGACGGAAACAGAACGTCAGGAGACCACAACCCTAAGGTTTTGGCCTGAGCAACTAAGTAAGTACAAGGATGACACTGACATTGACAGAAGTGGGGAAATGGAAGAGAAGCAAGGCTTTGGGCTGAGTCAGGGACAAGGGCATTGGTGCTTAGTGTGCAGCCTTAATGCTGAGCTGCTGGTTATACATTCAAATGGAGATGGCAGGTAGCGTCTCAAGTCAGAGCACTTGTGGCAGCTAACCCCAGCCCAATCTGAAGTGGCAACATGACTGGATGCGGAAACTCTTGGAGAGGTGTTTGGACCGTGGGGCCTACACTTAGCAGCAGGCGCCCACTGACGCTGAGCATGCTGGGAGTGTGGCTGCAGGAGGTGGTCACGGGGCTTGTGCCTGTGTGGGTGTTTCTCTTCCTGTGCTCTGCTTCCCGGCTGCCATGAACTGAGCAGCTTTGCTCGGCCACGCCCCTCCACCATGATGTCTCTTCCTTGGAGCCAGACAGCCGAGGACCGAAGCCTCTAAGACTGTGCGCTGACATAAACCTCTCCTCTTGAAGCTGTGTATCAGGGATTTGGTGCCAGCAGTGGGAAAGCTGACCGATACAGAGAACATGCATTCAGCAGTCACCCATAGATTCACGGGGCGTATGGCCAAAGCCAACATGATTGAGGGCTGAGCCTCAGTCACTCTGACACCGAGCCTCTGGGAGATGGGGTGGAACCAGCAGAAGAGAAAGAGAGAGAGTGGCCAGCCAGCTGGTGGGAAAATACAGAGGCAGAGCCTGCATTGTCCTCAATGTGTGCCTTTCATGCTCGACTGAAGGTTGCACGTTGAAAGTGCTCACTGCCGTGAAACAAATGAGAACTGGAGCTCTTGGTGAATCCTGTGATCTCTCGCTGACCCCAAGCTGCCCCGTCTCAGTAAAGGAAACTGTCTTCCACCCAGTCGCTCACTCACGACCCGAGGGCTCCTCCGCGATTCTCCTCGCTTTGGTCCCATCAGTGCATGCTGTTGATTCTGAGCCCCAAACCTGTCTCAGTCCAGTCATTGTCACCATCTTCACCGGCATCAATCCCAACTGCGCCATCTCCTCCTGGTCTTCTCCTGCTCTCTCTCCGCTGGCCTCTCAGGTTCACTCTTGTCCTCCCTCTCCAGACTCCTGGCCCCAGCCTCATCGCACTCAGCCCCCCAGGGTGACTGTCTAGAAACACAAGCCAGACGGTGTCACACCTCTGTGTGAAGTTCTACACAGGTTCTGTTCCAGGGTCCTGGTCTCCTGGTCTCCCTCACCTTTCACGGGCCTTTGTGTCAGTCCTCCATGTCTCCTGGGGCTCAGAGAATAAATTCAGGGTTAATATTGACCACCAACAAAAAAGGACAAATAGTTTCTCTCCCTTTCACAATATCTATTGGACCTTTCAGATTTTATTTACTTTCAGTTTCTTACACTAGGGAGACAATACGATGTTTACATGTGTGATTCTGATTTATTTCACTAATGAGTATGGTCTCTACTTGCATCCATTTACCTATAAAAGCCTCGAGTTTATCTTTTTTTATAGCCGAATAATACTGCATTGTATAAAAATACCACATCTTTTTTATCCATTCCTCAGTTGATGGGTGTTTGGGTTGTTTGCAAGATTTAGCTATGACAAATTATGCTGCTGTAAACATGGGACATATATCACTGTGGTATAACTGGGATGGAGGAAAGGAGAAAAGAAGGAAGTAATACACACACACACACACACACACACACACACACACACACACACGCACATATGCAAGATAGCCAAGACAACCATACTAGTAATTTCTATTAGTTCATTGAAAGGAACGATTAGTGGTTGTATTGTTTGACCAATCTTACATGCCTATATCTGGTAATCTCAGCAACTACTCTGAAGCTAACAATATGCAATATAACAACCATTGTTCATTTCCTATCATCTTGTTTTGAAAT